GCAGCAGCAGCCTCCTCCTCCTCGCCGGGCTCCTCTCGGCACTGGGTAAGCTGGGAAGGGGGACCAGGGCTGCTCATCCCCAAATCCTGATGCTGGGAGCTACCAGGGCACTCCAGACTCCCGGGAGGTGCCTGAAGGGCCAGCGGCCACTCACACTTCTGCTCTTGGAATTGTCACTGGTGGTGACAATGCTCCAGCGGTGATGTCTCCATCACCAGGCTGCAAGATTCCTGGCACCAGCCACCTCCCTGGGGACAGAGGGGGGAGGGGGGTGCCAGCCCCACCAGTGTCCCTGGGCATCAGCTGGCGCAGGGACATGGAGCCAACTGTGGGGACATTGAGCTGCTCATGGGGACAGACCTGGCCGAGGAGATGCCGAGGTGGAGTCTCCCCACCAAGGCACATGCGGTGGCACAAAGTGCTGCGGTCCCCTGCTAGTCCTTGTGCTTTCTCCAGAGATGACAAAAGCCCTTTGGTGGCAGCGTGGGGCTGGTGCAGGGGCTGGGACCAGCCAGCAGCCCTGGTGATGAGCATCGGCCCCGTGCCAGGGTCCCCCGTGGGGCTGACAGGTTTGTGCCACCGGCAGGGCCATCCCCAGCATCCTCCATCCACGTGTACACGCAACGGGAGGTGTATGGCACCGTCGGTTCCCACGTCACCCTCTCCTGCAGCTTCTGGTCCAGCGAGTGGATCTCCGAGGACATCTCCATCACATGGCACTTCCAAGCCGAGGGCTCCCGTGACAGCATCTCCGTAAGCGTCCGCTCTGGGGCGTGGGGTGGCCCTGCCTGAAGCCACCATGATTCCAATGTCCGTGTGTCTGTCCCCATCTCCAGATATTCCACTATGCCAAGGGCCAGCCCTACATCGATGACGTGGGCAACTTCAAGGAGCGGATGGAGTGGGTGGGGAACCCCCGCCGCAAGGCCGCCTCCTTTGTCATCCACAACCTGGACTACACTGACAACGGCACCTTCACCTGTGATGTCAAGAACCCGCCCGACATCGTGGGCAAGTCCTCCCAGGTCACGCTCTATGTCTTCGAGAAAGGTACAGCCCTGGCAGGCCCCTCCCTGCCTCAGCTCCCCCAGCCCAGCCAGGGGGCTGATGGGACACCGGTGTCCCCACAGTGCCCACCCGCTACGGTGTTGTGCTGGGCTCCATCATTGGCGGGGCTCTGCTGCTGGTGGCCGTGGTGGTGGCCCTGGTCTATCTCCTCCGCTACTGCTGGCTGCGGCGGCAGGTGGCCCTGCAGGGATGGCTGAGGTGAGCCCTGCTGTCCCACTGGGGCCAAACCACCCCAAAACGGGGCTGCCGGGCAGCACTGGGGGGGTTGGCCTTTCTAAGACACTTTTTTACCTTTCCAGCAATCAGCTAAGGACACAGCCATGCGCAGCCGGCAGGTGACAGCTATGGGGCTGGGGGTGGCAAAATGGCCGGGCTGGGGAGGCAAGACCCACCCCAACCTTTTGGGGTGGGAGGAGAGGCCTTGGGGGGGGTTGTTGGTGCTGACACTGGCCCTGTCCCCCCCAGGCACCTGTGCTTTATTCCATGCTGGACCCCAGCCGCACC